GCTCCTCCTGCTGTGTTCTGCCTGTTTCTTGCGGTTTGTCTGACTGTCTGACTGCTACACTCCCCTGATGCTGGCCCCTGGCCCTTCTGCTGGTTACCCTTCACTCGGCTGAGGACTTAAGGGGAAGCTTTACGAGTTTTTTAGTTTAATTGGGACCGCATTCTCTCAAACCGCAGTGCTGGAAACCCCGGGTCTCCCGTCTGGAAGCGAAGTGACAACTAGCGGTGACGCGGAAGGTTGCAGTTGGACTGGCTAGGCACAAAACAGAGCATTCTGTCTCCCTTTTTTGTTGTTTTGCTTGGGGGCGGGGGTATCGGGGTTCCTGTGGCTTGGAGCTAGGGGATAATGCAGTTATGACCTCAGCTTGCAAAGCCCTAACTTAAGTACAGATCAGGCCTACTTACGAATAGACACTGAGAAATATGTTCCTTTTAAAACTTTGACTCCATCCTCCCCGATACACACACTTCTTTCTAAACTCTGTTACAGCAGACCCTCCCCTACTCCAAAGGGCAGTTCTTATTTATGAATGAATGCCTATCTCTGCTGCCAGTAGCTAGGCTCCCCACACCCACCCATTGACTCCTAATTCTCTGCTTACGGGCTTAGCATCCGTGTGTTAGTCCAAGTGAAAAGTGAAAAATCACGTCTTTAGGAAGTATTGAAACAGATAGGCCTTTTGTAAGTGGGCAAATCATGCCATCTTCAGAGGTGGTGATGATAAATTCCATCTATATGAATTGAAAAATATTCTTCCCGGCTCTGCAGAGATCGTTAATCTTCCTCGCTCTGGCGTGTCTGCTTCTCATGTTTTACCACTGTAGTAAGTTAATAGGCATTTGAAAAAAAAAAAAACCCACTCAGGTTGTTCTAAAAAAAAAAATGACCACCAAATAAGATCTTCTCTGATCCTAAAATAGCACATACTTGTGATTTCATTACACTGCAAAGAGTTGGTTTGACTAATGGTGAAGGCGCATCCATTGGTTGGTGATATGGATGAGGCCTCCTCTCCCAAGTGCCAGTTTCTGAATTTGAGCCTCTCTTTGTGTTTTCCCCCTTGAGATGATGAAGAAAAGACACTCCCTCCCTTCCCAGGGTTACCCACTGCTAAAGCTTTTAATGCCCTCTTAAAATAATTCTTTATCATTCCACTGTCCCAGTCACAGCTTAGAATGCAAGTAGCCAAGTATTTTCTTAAGTTCAACATTCCAGGGCCTTGTGAGATTTACCTACTTCATGGGGGGAGGCAAGAAGTGTCTCATCACTCTACACACCCATAATCCTTTTTTCTTGACTCATTCCTTGATTTTCCTCTCCCAGACATGAGCTTTCATAAAAGGGAGAATCGGTCTAAAAAGTCTGCATTGTAACCGCTTAGATAAGGGTGAGACTCCGCTGTGTTGATTCCGAAAGTGAACTGGTGGTGACCCAACAGAGAGTCTCATTGTGTCCCCCTTCCCCTCCATGGGTGAAGGCACATATGAGCAGCAGTAGACATGATTGAGAACTCACTGTGCTTGTGAGAAAGCAAGAGGCATGACGAGAGAGATCTGGATCACAATGGTGCTGCGACACTCTCAAAACGGGAGGAAGGCTGCTTCATTTCAGGGGTTAACTTTCACACCCTTTGCAGTTTCCCAGATGGATGAAGCAAAGGGGGTTAACCAAGCAATTTGTCCTTGCTCAAATGGTACGTGCATCTCTAATACTTTCATCTTTCAAATTTTAGGTAAGACATGTAACAGCCTTATAATCTAGGGTAAACAGAGGCTAGCAGCTCCCTTGCAGGTTACAGTAGAATAACCAGCCATTCTCACCAAGAGACAGGCTGAGGGTTGGATGAGCCATTGTATATTCCCAGGGCCCTGAGCCCTTCTTAGGTTAAGTAAGGCCTGCTACTCACCTGTTTCAAAGTACTGAAAATCTTGAGAGCCACCAGAGCATTACCCAACGAGCTGCTGTATCGAATCTGTGCGCAACCAGTGAAACAGCAAAACAAACAAAAACAACTGGAGTGAGCCATGCTGGAGCCTCACATGCTACTAATTCGGGGAGTGAATGGAGGCATCAGGAAAGCAGACTGGGGTCCTACGAGACCAGCAGCACTGCAGTGCTCACCAGCCATGTCGTCACAGATACATGGAAGCTATTTAGCTGAAGTTCCTGCTCTCACGTTAAGCAGCCTGACATTCTTAAATTTAATACATGACACCCTGTGATCCAATAACATAAACTTTGCATCATTTGGAGGCTGGAGCCTTATATCCACTTGGGCTAAAACTAATATTCAATTTTTATTTATTTAATACTGAAAACGCATTCCTTTCAACCCACCTTTAAACTAAAGGCAACATGGCTTTGAGCCCCCTTAGTCCTTACAGAGGCCAGCAAGGATGGGACTAGTATGACCCCCAACAGTTTCTTTCCTTCTTAATAACTCTGACAGACATGACCTATAAGGATTCTTCTAGGCCTCTGCACTATTGGCATTTTGATCTTTGTAATTCTTTGTCATGATGTCTGCCCTGTGCATTGTAGCAGCCTGTCTGGTGCCAGTAGCATCTTTTCTCCCTGATCATGACAAACAAAAATGTCTCCAAACACTGCAAACTAACCCAGGGTACAGTGAGAAGGGGCAGAATTGTCCAAGTTTTGAGTGACAATAAAAATAACCAAATTTTTAATCAGCTGCTTTGAGGCACTAATCATAATAATGAAAAAGTCGAGTTTTCCTGGGGAAACAGTTCCTAGTAGAATACACAGCACGTCCCACTGAGACAAAAAGGGATCTAGCTTGTGCTTTAGCAGGAAATAAATATAAAAGGACATGAACCAAGCAGTTTTCCCAAAAGATCACCACCTTTTCCTTACGAACCTCTTCTGTTTCCCGCCCCAGTAGATAAAGCCTTGTGTTAAGGTTTTAGACCATGTATGTCAATCACTTGCCAAGGAAGCTGATTACAACTTCAAAATGCAAATGTTTCAATCAATTCGAGGACAAGAAAGAACATGGTAAATACCATGTTTAATATTGTTTAATATTTCTATCATTGTGGACAGATAAATGAGTGTTTTCCTGAGACAGTCCCTCTTGGAAAGTTTCCCAAGCTTACCAAGAAGGGCAGACAACCACCTTGGTCTTTCTCCCTGGTAACAGCTATGTTCTGCCTGAGTCCTAACCACTGTATTTCAGGGCACTGCAGAATACATCTAGAAGTTTCTGAAATGGCCCAAGGACTTTTTCCTAAAGAATTAAGCCCAGGGGGCAACTCTGCCTCAGGGTCAACCAAAATGTCATCTGGAGGCTTAGGAAAGATGGGAAAGAAATGTCATGTTTTTATTCCCAAGGGGCAGTTTGGACAGGGACCCAAAGCCAACAAATGAAATTATAAATCCACATATAACTTCTGCATATTTATAAAACTGGAAATGACCTACTGGGGACACATGGGAAATTTATCTTTGAGATGGCCTTGTAAAAGGCCACAGCAATGTAGGGCAATGAAGAGAGAGGACCAGCTATGGTCCACGGGTTCTGACTTCCAGAGTCAACTCTGCTCTCCTCCTGCGGCACCGCCATAACAGGGCTTCTTCCATGTGGCTACTCTAGTTTCAACTCAAATGGCTAAACCCAACTCTTGTAAGTTCCATTCAGCCTCTGAGCAACCCATCTGCAAAGACAGGACCCCATTTGCACAAAGGCTCTTCTGGATGAACCAGCCCTGGTGGCTCTGCTGCCTTCATCCCTTCACCAGGTATTAACTAATTATGTTATTGTGTGTCCTTTTCAAAGCCAGGCACTCTGTAGAAACACATGCCATTCCTGCAGAAAGAAACCTTTTCTCCTGCATCAGAGGGTCTGCAGTGCTTGCCTCCAGGCAGCCTGTGTACAGAGCCTACAGCAGCATCACACTGATGTGGGTGTCATTAACTTTATTTCCTTCATCAACTGGCAGAAGCCAAAATGATTTTTAAGATGGATAGTACTGTCTCCTGTCTACCCATCTCAAAGCTCTTCTGCAGGTTTTTTAGTGTGCTTTAGATAGTGTGGCCTCAGCTGCAGCAAATCTGGGATCTGGAATTTAACTACAGTAGCATGACCTTGAGAAGACTCTGTGACCCTTCTGGGTCTCACTTTGCCCACCTGTAAAATTAAAGGACTCTACCAATCACACTCGAGAGAATTATTTTTTAGCCATTGCTGTTTGCAATGACCTTTTCCCAATCTTTGCCATAACAGTACAGACTGGGTTAAAGTGATTGCAGTGCATCTCAGCTATTACCAAAATAATAATAATAACAGCTGTTCCCAGCTACTCCCAGACTCACAAGTCAGAAAGAATTGAGGACCTCACCCAGCTAGTTCTCTCTTTGAACAGTTCCCCTAAGGTGGACGTGAAGACTGACAAAGACTATAAATGTCTTTCCTTCCTTCCCATCCTAAGAAATGTTCAGAGTGGTGAGACAACGTGATGTTCCACCACTGTCTTCATCTGAAAACTTATGTGAGAAAGTCAAAGGTTCTCTACTTCCTGTCAACAACTGTTTAACATTTACCCCAACCCCCACGAGTACACACAATAAAGCCTATTTTTTAGCTGTTTACTGAACCCATACTTGCCTTATCCACCCATTGTCATTAGTCAAAAGAATACACAACTGTCAGAAACACCCCCCTACCCCCACCACGACTACTACAGCACAAGCAATGCCCTCACTGAGTCTGCTTAAGATGAAGCTCTGCTAAGGACTGTAGTGCTTCCTAGTCATCCCATATGGTTTTGGAAGAAGTAAATACGCAATTGGC